GAGGGCGAAAAACGGCCCTACAGGCAAACCGAAAGTTTGAGAACGGACTTCTGGTTTGGCCTCAGGGCCGTTTTTCGCCCTCTGGAGGCTTCAGTGAAGTCTCCTGAAGGTCCCTGAAGGCTCCGGAGGGCTTAAACCGGTTCTACGAGCAAACTGGAAGTCCGTTCCTGAGCTTCCGGTTTGCCCAGGGGGGGTGTTTTCGCCCCCTCCCCAGGCTCCTATAAACCCTCTGGAGCCTGGGGAGGGCGAAAAAAGCATGCAAAAAATGGGGTGGAGTGCCTGTCCTGTACGCATGCGTGGTGGGTGCGTAACGTGCATTGCATTATGGGTGCGGCATGCCCGCGCACGAACCCCCCCCCCCCGCTCCCCCCCCTTATGGCACGCGAGCCAAAAAAGGTTCCCCATCGCTACCCTAGACCATTTCAGACAAATCTCTTCTTGCAAACCTCCAGGGATGGAGGAGCTCCCACCAATTCTTGCTTAATTCAAAATGTTGCCACTAATAAAAGATTGAAAGCCTCCTTATAGCTGGTCCTTGACTTACAACCACAACAGAGCAGAAAATCTTCATTGCTAAGTGGGGCAATTGTTAGGCGAGTTTTGCCCCATTTTCTGGCCACAGTTGTTAAGCGAATCACTGCCTTTAAGGGAATCATACAGTCGTTAAGAGAATCTGGCTTCTCTCATTGACTTGCTTGTCCGAAGCCGGCTAGGAAGATTATAAGTGGTGATCGTATGACAAGGAAGGCAGGGAGGGAGGGAGATAAGGAAGGAAAAGAAGGGAGGAAGGAAGAAAGGAAAGAAGGAAGGAACACAAGAGGGAAGGGAGTGAGGGAAGGAAGGAAAGAAAGAAGGAAGGGAGGTAAGGAAGGAAAAGAAGGAAGGGAGGAAGGAAGAAAGAAAGAGGGAAGGGAAGGAAGGAAGGGAGGTAATGTAGGAAGGATGGAAGGAACACAAGAAGGAAGGGAGTGAGGGAAGAAAGGAAGGAAGGAAGGAAGAAAGAGGGAAGGGAGGGAAGGAAGGAAAGAAGGGAAGGAAATAATGTAGGAAGTAAAGGAAGAAACGAAAAGAAGGAAGGAAGGGAGAAAAGAAAGGGAAGGGAGGGAGGGAAGGAAGGAAAGAAGGAAGGGAGGTAATGTAGGAAGGATGGAAGGAAAAGAAGGAAGAAAGAAAAGAAAGGGAAGGGAGTGAGGGAAGGAAAGAAGGGAGGGAGGTAATGTAGAAAGGAAAGGAAGGAAGGAACACAAGAAGGAAGGGAGTGATGGAAGGAAGGAAAGAAGGAAGGAAAGAAGAAAAAGAGGGAAGGGAAGGAAGGAAGGAAGGAAAGAAGGGAAGGAGATAATGTAGGAAGGAAAGGAAGAAACGAAAAGAAGGAAGGAAGGAAGAAAGGGAAGGGAGGTAATGTAGGAAGGAAAGGAAGGACGGAAGGAAGGAAAAGAAGGAAGAAAGAAAAGAAAGGGAAGGGAGTAAGGGAAGGAAGGAAGGAAAGAAGGGAGGGAGGGAGGTAATGTAGGAAGGAAAAGGAAGGAAGGAAAAGAAGGAAGAAAGGAAGAAAGAGGGAAGGGAGTGAGGTAAGGAAAGGAAAGGAGGGAAGGAAGGTAGGGGGAGGGGAGAGGGAAGGTCTCCCAACGAAAATCATGTGTTAGATGCTGCAACTCTTAAATAACATACAAAGTTGCTAAGCACCCAAATTTTGATTTCGTGAACATGAGAATGCTACAAGAGTTGTGTGAAAACTGTTTGTAAGTCACTGTTCTCGGTGCCGTTCTAACTCTGAATAGTCACTAAACAAAGGATTGTAAGACTACCTGAACTCGGGGGGGGGGGGGGGAACCCCTAAAACCTAGAATACCTTTGCATGAAATCATGGAGATCCGGATTCACTTGGTCTATGATGGGCATCAGATAATTTAAAATGTGTCTGGTGTTTTCCATGGTTGGGTCCATAAAATCCCTGCAACCAAAGAAAAGATTGGCAAAAGTTAGAATGCAACAAGGGTGAACACACGCACGCACACACACACACACACACACACACTACGAACATCCTGCATAATCACAGGAACAACACAAAGGGCACAATGCAAGTGACGCAAACTGCAATCCGAGAAATACTTGTGTTTATTATACTCCTCCAAGGATGTTTAAGAAATGCAGA